CTGGGGAAGGTCTCTCTCACCTACAGTCTGTGAACAGACAGCAGCTGCTGAAACTCATACCGCACATCCAGGTGTTTGCCAGAGTGGTGCCAAAGCAGAAGGTGAGAGATTTCAGCTGCTGGTAAAACCCAGTTTTAGCAGGGTTCCCAGCAGGGCTCATGTGGTGCCTGGGAGCCACATAGATACTAGCACATGATTAATGCTAAAGCTGTTTACAGCAAACGAGCGTAACCTCTCCTGATACCTAAGCCAGCAGGCAGCAAGGACCAGAGCTCAGGGTGTGCCACATTGTTATCCTGAAGAGTCCTGAGCCTGTTAGCCCATTCTAGCTCTGCATTCCTAAAAGAGATCCTGAAGGTGAAGCTTTTGGAGTCTGGCTGTGAGGCCAGTGAGTTCCTGTAGAGCAGAAGCACTTGACCAAGATGCATAACCCAGTGCAGACAGCAGCATATCAGAACACACAGGCTGCCCATTCTCACTATGCCTTTCTTTTTGCAGGAGTTTGTAATCACTACTCTGAAGAGCCTGGGCTATGTCACGCTGATGTGTGGGGATGGGACCAATGATGTCGGAGCTCTGAAACATGCAGATGTGGGTGAGTCCACATGCAGGACTCTCATGTGTGCCCCTGTCTGAGTTTGGCTAGTGTTCCTAAACACAGAACCAGTGTTTCTCTGGTGTTTTGAGGGCTGGGATCAATCTGACCAACATCATTTGGTGGCATAAACTAACATAAAGAAGAAGGATCTCTGCGCTGGTGGAATACTCACTGTGTGTGCGCCAGCAGGCAGCATGAATTAGCTGCCAACATGTTTTCCTGGAAGAAAGATTATTCCTAATGTGTTTGGGGGTTTTTTTCCACTAAGCTTTACTTCAGCAAGTGTAACATGTCTGAAGTCCCTGTGTAACTAGCCTGCCCCCCTGACTCCAGGTGTAGATTGCAGTTGGGATCCCTACTTGTTGAAAATGCTCTGCCAGGAAGGGGATTACAGGCCTTTTTCCCTGCAGCTAATGTTTTTACACTCCTACAGGAGTGGCACTGCTGGCAAATGCTCCTGAGAGACTGCCCGAACGGAAGAAGAGAACCAGAGATGGACCCAGTGATGGGAGGCCTGCCCTGCCATCGCTGGGGAGTGGGACTGTGAAGCCCACCTCCCGTGGTGCCAAGCACAGAGTCATGTCCCAGAGAGAGGAACAGCTGGCAATTCAGAGGGTTGGTAACAAGATGTTTAAAAGCCCCGTTAACTTATCCTTGTTCTTTGTTCCTCCTCTGGTTTACTGCTAATTCATGAGAACTGGAAATGGCAGGACGTATTGGGAAAAGACCAGCTTTTTTGCTTCTTATCCTGCAATAGTAAAATGGATTTGAGCAGAGAAGGTGCTGCTTTTCCAGCCAGCCATCAAGCTAAAGCTGCAAGCATGAAGGCTTCTCAGCCTCCTCCCCTTGGAACAGGGGTGTGGGAGAGGATAGTACAAGATCATCTTTGATCCGGGTTGTGATAATGAGGTTTGCCTTTGTGTCTTTCCCCTATTTGTCTGCAGGAGCGGATCAGTCAGGTCCTGAAGGATTTGGAAGAGGAGCGTGTACCAGTCGTGAAGTTGGGTGATGCCAGCATTGCAGCCCCCTTTACCTCCAAGCTCTCTTCCATTCAGTGCAGTAAGTGCGTAGTGGGAGCTGAACGGTTGGTGGCCATCTCCGTGTGTCCCATTTCCCCAAGGGGAGTAAGTCTAGATTTGAAAGAAGCCAAGACAGAGGGCGTGGGGTGGTGAGAAGTGCCCCCAAACCCATGGCTTTGCCGCCTTTTTGTGTGGAGCAACCCTGTGGAGGTTTCTTGGATGGGGACGGGAGCAGTGAGGGCTTAGCTTCCCTCTGTACCGCTTCAGAAAAGGAGAGGACTGAGGGACAAAGCCCCAGAACCTGTTTTGTTTTGTTTCCAAATGCTGCTTCCTCTTGCTCCTTAGTCTGCCACGTGATCAAGCAAGGTCGTTGCACGCTAGTGACAACACTCCAAATGTTCAAGATCCTTGCCCTGAACGCCCTGATCCTTGCTTACAGCCAGAGTGTCCTCTACTTGGAAGGGGTGAAGTTCAGTGATTTTCAGGCAACTCTGCAGGGTCTGCTGTTGGCTGGCTGCTTCCTTTTCATCTCCAGGTCAAAGGTAAGGGGAAGAAAGTGTGTTGGAACAGCGGCTGGCTGATGTCAGTTATATCAGGATTACTGAAGGAATGCCTCTCTCCAAAAAAAGCCATTTATTTTAATAAGTTAACAGTCCACAATGCTGGAGGGCATGGGGTTTTTTTGCTCCCCTGGGTTTGGGGGGCTCCTGAGGCCAGCGCTTGCTTAAGGGAGCATCTTGTGATTGCAGGCAGGCAGCTTTGTTCAGGTTGGTGGAAGAGGTGGGAAGGGTAATGCAGATAAATGCTTCAGTTGAGGCTGTTACTTGCACCGACTAAGCTGTGGGTCTCATGTACACGTGAAGTGAAATTCTCGCAGGCATTTCCCAAGAAACACAATTGTTAGTTGGATTCTGCTGGAAAACTGCCTAGAGATGGTCAAAACCGTTCCAGTCAACCCTGCTTGCTTTTCTTTTGCAGCCTTTGAAGACACTTTCCAAGGAGCGCCCGCTGCCAAACATCTTTAACCTTTACACGGTCCTAACAGTGCTGCTGCAGTTCCTCGTGCATTTCCTCAGCCTTGTTTACCTGTACCGCGGTGCTCAGGCACGCAGCAATTCCAAGTAAGTGTCCCTTCCTCTGACACTGGAATTTTTTCTCCAGTTGCTGTTAAGCAAGAGGGTGGAGAGAGGCTTCCCCCACCACAGTGCTCTTTCTGCGACTGCTTTATCAAGCACGCCAAGTGTTAGGAGTTTCATGTGTTAGACGCATCCAGAAAAAGCATTTCTGAGTTGTGCATCAGCAGGCAGCTCAGTGTGGCATGGATGCGATGGAACCAGTGGGAATATGGTCTGTGATACGTTGCAGTTCCCACATGGACGGGGAAAGGAAAATAGAAATAACACCAGTGAGTGGATTACTGGAAAGCTTAGGAAGAAAAACACACACACACCCTAAATTTTTTTCCACTTGATTTTTATTTTGTGGAAGAGAACCCAATGATTACCTGTGCTTGCAGCATCCGCAGCTCTGCTCTCACCCGTGCAAGCATGCTTGTGTCGGAGGTGGGACTGCTGCTAATGGGAGCCACCAAAGTTTGCGAACAAACTGTTGTTGCCCAACAAAACTTGCATGTAGTTTAAATAAACCATAGTTTAAATAAACTGGTGATTCTGAGTCTGGTCCACTGATCTCCAGCTTTGTTCCCTTTTAGACAGGAGGAGTTTGTGGATCTGTACAAGGAGTTTGAGCCCAGCCTTGTGAACAGCACTGTCTACATCATGTCGATGGCAATGCAGATGGCCACGTTTGCTATCAACTACAAGGCAAGCCATGTTTAGGTTACATCTCCAGCAGCACCAGAGAAATTATTTTGTAATTCAGGTGCAATAATACAAAACAACGTTCTTCTCATTTTGTCAGTGCTCTGCAGGGAAAAACTCCCTCTTTTTGCACCAAGTTGGAATGAGCCAACTGTCCTAAACTGTGTCATGAATTGCTCCACATCCCCTAGTGTGCATGAGTACAGCCTTACCTCTGCTCACCGTTTCTCCCTGCTGTGTTTCAGGGCCATCCTTTTATGGAGAGTCTACAGGAGAACAAGCCTTTACTGTGGAGCATCGTCCTTTCAGGGCTTGCCATCGTGGGCCTTCTCACGGGCTCTTCGCCAGAATTCAATGAACAGTTTGGCTTGGTAGAAATCCCTACTGAGGTGAGCAGGCAGCGTTTCTCTGTGCTTACTTAATTTTAGGCATGGTTTCCAGTGGGAGAAGAGGTCTGAGCCTGTCTTCAGGAACTCTGGAGGAATCTTAAGGTTTTTAGCAGATAACAGCTCACAGGAGCACTAACTACCCCCATAGTTCATGTGGTAGCAATCCTGCTGAAGCAGTGGGGATTTTTTCCAGCATGCTGTCACTTTTTTACAATTTAGTGACTTTTACAGCATGCTGTGAAAGCCAGAAGTTCAGGCTCTAGTTCAGCAGTTGCTGCAGAGGCTGTGGGGACGGAGCAGCTGAACGGGGACTAATGGGTTGTGTTTGTTTTCCTAGTTCAAGATTGTGATCACGGAAGTGTTGCTGGCTGACTTCTTCCTCGCCTTGCTCGTGGACCGAATTCTGCAGTTTCTGCTGGGGAGCGCAAAACTTAAAGTGCCTTCCTGAAACGGATTCCGAGGTCCCTCGCCCCCAGCAGCGCTATACAAAGGACAGCACCCAGGGCCGCGTTTTGCCATCACGAGAAGAATCATCCTTAATTCTTTTGACAATAACTCTGATCCTGTTCAGAAATAGGCGTGGGGAAGCTTTCTTCCAAATCACGCGGACGCCACCTCTGAAACAAGACCTGACTTTTTAACGTTTGCAGGACGTACTACCAACTGTCGGGAGTTTTGTACTGCCCTAACGTTTAAGGAAACGTTTACAGAATTTGGTAACTAAAATCAGAATCGATGTATTTTGAAACATGTTTGGAACTTCCTTTGTGGGGCTGAAAGCTTTGTGGTGTTTTTAATAGATGGTGAGATCAAGTGCAGGAATAACAACGGCAACAAACTAGAGGTGAGGCTCAGGGGTAGGAGTTCTCACACAACAAACACTACAACCACCCTTGCAACAGGTAATGTTCAGAATAAAGAGTTGTAGCATTGGCAAAGTGTAGGAGAACAAACACTGCCAAGAACTTCTATACATTATGCTGTTGTACATGCCAACCCTGAAGCCCTGTATTTCAAAACCATTACAAAAATATTTTGGCAGGTGAGAAGAGAAACATGTTTTATTTTTCTACCTAAGCAATTCCTGTAATCAGATATTGATTGCATTTCTTCAGCTATCTTGAAATTTAATCTGAGAGAGGGAGGAGCTCAGCCCAGCGGGATGTTTGGCTGCAGTTTACATCCTTGAGGTAGACTCCGGTGCTAACAGACGCTGGGTGGGAGCCTAGCAGCAGCTGTCCTTTCAACTACAAAAGCGTAATTGTACTGAAAACAAAACAAAAAGTGGTCAGGACACGACACTGGTATTTGAGAAATTCCAAATATGACTGCTGTCCACCTCAAAAGAGGTGCATGACCAAAGCAGCCTGCTTACCTCTTTCTCAATATCAGCAAGTGACTTAACATTCAGGTCTGCAAGGATAGCCTAAAAGAAAGACATAAAATATTTCTAATTAAGACTAGTTATAAGGTAGGACTAAGAACAGCAGCTTAAATGAAGACTCACGTTACTGCCAGAACTCAGCTTGCTTTCAAATTTGGGGTGTAGTGTGAAAGGCACTCCGTCCATAGCTGGGAAGAGAAGTGAGAGATGCTTTAGGAACATCCCAGGAGCTGCTCTGAAAATACACAATTACTTAATTGCCGCATAAAGCCGATGAGTGGAAGGGGACACCTTAGCACCCAGAGAAGAGTTTGAGCAAGATGTCGGTGACATCTTTTAATTCAAGCCAGGACTAACTTTCAGGAAGGGAAAAGTCTTTAAGAAAACCTTCTTCTAAAAATTGAGCTCAGTTGCAGTCTTTAAAGGGAACAACTGTGTGCAAACCCAACTATCGGCCTATATTTTCATTTTAAAGTACTCTTTAAACAGGGATATGCTTGCTTTATGCAGCTTCCTCGTTTGATTCCAGATGAAGAACCACTTTACCTGAGAGGCCGTAGATGTTGGAGGTGTCGTACAGAGATTCGTGCTGAGAAGCGCGTTTGATGCTGCATCGAGCCGCAGGTGACCTGTAGCAGATTGGAATAATTAACAGTCGGAGCATTAGCAGCACGCAGCAGGTAACGAGCCCCAGACCAGGGGAATGGAAATGGTGAGGTGACACCAGCAGTTGCAGGATTTATTCCCAGTCCTGAACTGGTTCAGGTAAGACTTGGGGTGGCGGGGGGGAATAAATGAGTGCATACGCACTTGTGGTCTGAGTCAGGGGGTTGGAGCGAGAGCTGCTTCAGACCTTCGCTGATGGGGGGCTGCGCCTTGGATTTCAAAACCGGCCCTTTTTTACACCAGATGGCAAAATTACCTATTTCCCTAGGGGGAAAAAAAAAAAAAGAAATAAATAACCACCAGGCCCTTTGCTGTGAGCAGTGGCAGGGCGGGCAGGGCCCCCCTACCCTATTTTCATGTAGTGTGGGAGGGCTTTGCTCTTGGAGCTTAGCTTGAGGTCGAAAACGGCCGTTTCAGCGGTGTCCAGTGGCAGCAGCTTCATGTAGACCCGCTTTTTGCGGGAGATGCCGGTCCCTGTGGAAAAGGGGGAGGAAAGCAGGCGACAGGACCAGGACGGTGGGAACCGGGGACCGGCCCCTGCTGTCCCAGACCCCCCCCCGCCAGGGAGTTAGGGGGTACTTACGGGGCTCCGGGAACTCGGGGATCCGGGTGTAGCCGGGGGGCTGAGGGCTCCGGTCGCTCAGTACCTGCAGATCGGTCACTACGGGCCCGGGAGCCGCCTGGACAGGATGGGACCTCGGTACCGGCCCCGGTTCTGGCCTCGGCCACCCCCCGCCCCGGTCCCGGTCCCTCCCCCCCCACCCCGCACCTGGGCTCCGCCGGTGCAGACGCAGAGGTACCCGCCGCCCTTGTGCCCGAAGCCCTTGGCCAGGTTGGCCGCCGCGCCCTCCACGGTAACGGTGATCTGCGGGTACAGGGACCGTCAGGCCACGGGGGAACCGGGCGGCGGCGTTGTCATCGTCCCCCCGGCTCCGCCCGCCCCTACCGCGGTCCAGCCGGCGGGGGCCGCCTCGGGGGCAGCGGCCCAGGCCACGCCGGTGAGCGGGGTCTCCGCCGCCGCCATCATAACCGCCGCTTCCTCCCCGGGAGTGGCGGAGCGCCGCCCCGCCCCCAGCTCCTCAACAACCATTGGACGGCGCATGGTTACGGCTACGGCGATTGGCTGGCGCCATCTGAGCGACGAATGAGTTAACCACTAAGCGACGACCGACCGCTCGGGCTGCCTTCGAAGGCGGAAGCGCGGGGGAACCGGGCAGGAACCGGGCTCCCCCCGCCTTTATTGACAGCAGCACCGACAGCGCGGCCCGTAGCCCACCCACCAACCCCCGGCTCAGCCCTCCGGTGGCGGCGGCATCATCTTCCTCAGCGGCGGGGCGGCGATCAGCTTGCGCACAGGGGAGTTAACCAGCTGCTGGAAGGTCCTCGTGGCTGAAACGGGGGGGAAAGCTCGTTAACCCCTGTTAACAAGCCCCACCGAGGCTTCCACGCCCCGCCACCGAGGGATTCCTGCTTACCGAGCTGCTCCGAGAGGTGCCGGAGGTATTGCTGGCTGTCTTCGGTGAAGGCCTGCAGCAGCTTCACCGCTTGCTGTAGCTCGTCAAGCTGCAAAACCAAAGCGTTAACAGGCAAAAAAAAGCTAAAAAAAAAAAAAAATTAAAGAGAATTTTCCCCCCCCCAACTCACCACAAGCTCCATGCAGCTCAAGACCTCCCCCTGCTCATCCAGGATCTTCTGGTAGTTGGGTTTGGTGGCGAGGACTTGGGCCTGAGATGTCTGGAGGTAACTGCAAGGCTCGGCCTGCCCTCGGCTCCTCTTGCATTCCTCCAGCTGCCTGCACAGCAAAAGTCATTTACCCCTCAGGTGGCGTTTCGTTTTCTTTTCCAACACAGAACAGCTCTAAGATGGAGAGTAACAATCACACCTGGATATTTCTTCAGCACTTTCCTGGTGACGCAGTAAGAGCTCATCCCAGGACTGACATTCGGCAGTGAACCTGCGGAGCGAGAGGAGAGGACAGGTCTGTACCCCGCAGTTGGAAAACCGAAATGCAGCGCTGGCTCATACAAAAAAAAGAACCATTTAAAGGGATTAAATATGCCCAAAATACCCTCGAGGAAGGGTGTCCAAACCCATACTGGTGTTGAGAGACTCGGACCGTGCAGACGGTCGATCTTACCTGGTGATGTACTCCTTAACTTGGGCCACTGACTCATCCAAAGCCGGATCCAGTAAAATCCTAAAGCACAGACAGATCATCAGCACCGTATAGCAAGATGTATATGTATAGCGAGATGTATACGTTCCACAGAGGGCTCTGGTGACTGTTTGGGCGCTAAATGCTTAGAATTGCAGAATACAAAAGAGAAAACTCTTGATCCCAAAAAAGATAACACCCCTTGGAATAGTCACTGTACTGGTTTGTCCAGGGATACCAGCCCCCCAAAAAAACTTAGCCACCATCAGCGGGGTTAGACGGTTTATTTAGACAGCTAGGCAGGCCAAAACCAGAAAAACAGAATCACAGAACAGTTTAGGTTGGCAGGGACCTTAAAGATCATCTCGTTCCACCCCCCCCCCCGCCACAGGCAGGGACACCTTCCACTGGACCAGGTCACTCAAAGCCCCGTCCAACCCAGCCTTGAACAGTTCTACCACCTCTCTGGACAACGTCTTCCAGTGCCTCACCACCCTCACCAAAAAGAACTTCTGATCTAAACCTACCCACTTTCAGTTTAAACCTGTTACCCCTCATCCTGTCGTTACACTCCCTGACAAGGAGTCCCTCCCCGGCTTTCCTGTTCCCCCCCCCCCAAAGTACTGGAAGGCCACTCTAAAGTCTCCCCGGAGCTTTCTCTTCTCCAGGCTGAACAACCCTAGCTACGTATGACCTCCCAAATACGTGATCCTTATTATTCATGTGCATATACCTGTGATTTTTATACATATTTATTCATTTAATAGGCAAAATCTTATTTAGTTTGACTTCTGAACCACTCCCCTCCCCAGACCCTGCACGCCTACAAAGGGAAAACGCAGTGGTTTCTTTCCCATTAAGAAGTTTCACACACACCCCTAAAATCTGCTGGCACATTAGCCTTTCCCCGCTGGTTCTGTTATAGTTGCCTGGATGAGGGAAGCCAGCTAATTAAAGTGTTTCAATGAACTCAAAGCATTTTGACAACTGGTTTGTGCTGGCAGGGCGAGGTCCTTGTATGCAGCAATAGATGCGTTTTGTGTTCAGGCTACCCCCTTCTCCCTCCACTTCGCCCCCCAAAGCGGTACGACTCACTACTTACTTACACTCCACAAGGGATGAATTTGGCAAGTACTTACCCTTTAGGGTCTTCTACGCAGCTCTTCAGCGTTCCGTCTTGTTTCAACTTCTGTATGTATCGCTTCAAGTCTTCGGAAACTGAGTGCACTGGAGATGAAGGCAAAATAAAACAGGATAAAACAACACTCGTACCCACTGCCTAGAAAACTAGTAATACTGAGAAACGAAGCTGTTTCCTAACCCGCAGACACTGCTCTGACTCCTTATCAGAAGGCATTCTAGTTATGCTGTTTCTAAAGGAATAACTCATCTCTGCGACCACGGTTTACATTCGTGTGTCCATTTGTCTTCCCTCCCAGAAACTGTGGTCACGAACAGCATCTTAAAAACATTGTTCCCATATTTTTGGCTGCACCCACCCCTTCTAGGAGACTGCTGGTTGCGTTTTGAGAGGATGCTAGGGAAGAGCCAGTATTTTTAAGTTCAGGATTACCCTTGCTGATACATATATCGCACCTTACCATTAGCTTTGAAAGCCTCAGGGCTAAAGCTGTCAGTCTGCTTCAAGGCATGTTTGAGCTTCTGTGCAGAAAACTAAGAGAAGATGGAAAAGAAGGTCTTAGCACACAATTCCTGAGCTGTATATATATGGCAGAGCTTGCGGGAGGATTTGTTACTGAAGTAGAAAGGAGTCCCTCCTTCCCCAGCCCGTATTTCACAACTTAGTTATACAAATCAGAACGTACGTTTAGTGGCAGAAGGCAGGCAAGAGAAAAATGATTCACTTTTAAAAGAGAAGATCTTACCTGGAAACTGGACAACAACAGCATAGAAAGCCGGTCTACCTCTGGCAAGTCCACGCTAATTGATTTGCTTAATTCTGAAAAAAACAGAACAAAATTATTTAAGAACAATTACATTCACACCAAGCTACAAACAGCTGAAATGTTCCTGAAAGACACTAAAAGCTGTTGTTGTACAGGAGTGCGGTTTGCAGGATATGGAAGGAGCACGGAAAAGAGGGAGAAACAGAGTTCCTAACAAGGAAAAGTCACGCGTAAAGCTCAACCGTGGAAATAAAAAGGCAGAGACAATAAACCACTGGTCTACAGAAGCCGCTAATGCAGCACCTCCTTTTAACCTCAAGTACTTGGACCTCCGAGACCACTGCCATCACAGATGTCAGTGGCTACTAGTTTGGAATAACACAGTTATGCTGTAATCACCCTAAAGGTCATGCCATGAAATTAAATTTCAAGTTGCTGCGGGCTGCCCTACAAGTTTCTTGAGAGCGCTTGATAAAGGGAGGAAGGGGAGCACGGACCAGTGACATCTTGGTGAACAGGAGGCAGAGATTTTCGGCGTTTTGTCCCCTTCAGGCTTGAGCGACACCAAGAGCGACGCTTGGCTTCAGGAGAGGTGATGAGCAGTCTCGGGGACAAGTGAAAAGAACGCGATGTATGGTCTTTCTTAGCACTGCTTCTCCAGGGAGACAGCCTTTTGGGACTAGGTCCGAGGGGGTGTTTCCTGAGACTGGGACCTCCTTGGGGTTCTTTCCTCGATCCCACTGTCTCACTGGGACTAACGTTCTTCTCATTAACAGCAGTTACATCAGGTAGATTTAGGAATTGTTCAGGATTCGCTTTCTTCTCTCCAGGGTCAGCATCTGAGAAAAACGGACATAATCAACGCATCAGCAGGGCAGAAAGAGAGGAAAGGGTCTATCCCCAAGGATTCGAAAGCGCTGAACCTGTTCTTTACGCTTTGTTATCCAGCTCGGTGCAACAGCAGCGCTGAGGTACGACGGCTGGATCCCCACTTCACAGCCTCCCAAAACCGCCGGTGCCTCGGGTTCTCCTTTCCAGCACCAAGATCCTTCTCCCGAGCCCCGGGAGGGCCCCCACTGGGCGGGGAACGATGCTCAGCACCACCCATCCCTCCCCGCTCCCGGGCCCGCCGCCCCCCTTACCTGACACTACAGCTTCAGCCGCCGGGCGGGCTCCGCCGGGGGAACGCTGAGGGGGAAAAACGGTTACGAGGCTGGTAGCGAGGCTTCCCCGCGGCCCCCCTCAGCCAGACAGGACCCCACACACACACACCGCTCACCTCCTCTTCCTCCGTCCCGCCAGACGGCCGCGGTAAAGCGGGAGCCGGCCCGCAGCCCTCCGCCGGTTGCTCCGCCATGGCGGCGTCCCGCGGCCGCAGCGGCCGTTGGGCGCGGGGGACGGCGGGAAGGCGCCGCCCGCTGGCAGGCGCATGCGCAGAGGCTGCCTCCCCCCCTCCCCTCAGTTTCCCGCCCTCATCCCCTCAGGGACCCCCGCCGCCTCAGAGCTGAGAGGAAAAGGAGGGGAAGGAAAAAAAAAAAAAAAAAAAAAAAGGCTTTGGAAGTTTATTATCTTTGATAAAATCTCAACTGAAAAGGGTGGACTCTGCGTTAACAGCTGCAGAAATGCACAAAAACCTATTATCCATGGGGAAGTCGGGGGGTTTTGTTGGTTTGTTGTGGGTTGGGGTTTTTTTTTTTTTTTCTTTTCACTAGACATTAAATTAGAATTACGTGGAATGACACATGATGGAAGGTCCTACCCGAGAGCAAAGTCCAGTGAGAGTTTTGGTAAAGCAACGTTCTGATTAATTAGCTCAGAATGAATTCTAGTTAAGAAAAGCTTATTTTCCTATACAAAATTACAATACAGAGAACGCATACAATTACAATACAGGGGGTTTAACTGTTAGTAGCTATCAACTAGAACAGAAATTTCATAGTAAAAAACTTTATGGAAATTAAAATAAGTCAATTTTCTTAAGCTGTAAAACTTGAGACAAATGCCAAGTTCTAGAAGAGACACTTTCAGATTCTTACCATAAAATCCATATTTTAAAAAATGAATTTGGTTAGGAAAATGAAGCAAGTTCTTTTAAAACAATTTCACATCCCAATGGGCATAAGTAAAAAGAACTCAACTGCGTGAGGCTGAGAGGTAGAGAGGTATCATTGTAATCACAATCTTCTATTGGTTCCAGGGTTTTTTCTGAGGTAATTAGCTGTGTGTCAAGTTGTATAAACAATGGTATTGGCAAAAGAGCAACATTGACAAATTACACTAATGACCTCTTTCCTCTCATCAATAGGTCCTAAAAACTTAATTAGACGCATCCGAATTAACACTTCCAGGGTCTCCAGCAGGTGAAGTGATTGATGAAGGGGTGGTAGCATCCTGCCAGCTGCCATTAGCCTGAAGGGAGAATAAATATATCATTTCATTAAATCTTTAAGAAACTACTTGCAGACAACAAAGTATGCCTTTATATGTTTACACCTTACAAGCGACAGTGCTTTTGGAAGTAAATAACTACATATCGGCTCCGACAAAGCATAGTCCACAAATAACCCGTAAACGCCCCCCCCCGCCCCAAGATTTTATGGTGTTACTCTTATTCCTAGTGCCATCTCCTTATGGCAAGAATTAACCAAAGTGCACAAATTTTCTGGTGAGCAAAGCCAGAACTCTAAATCACGTCTCCGGGAGGGAAAGGCTGCTGTATTAAACTACACCTTTTCCAGCTTCTTCCTATCCCCACATCAGATACATCGGGGGGAATAAAAAGTCAACATTTATTCACAGATCGTTAACTAATCTTGGGCAAAATTTCTGTTTCTAGCAGGTAATACCTCAGCACATCTTACATCTATACGCTGCGTCGTATACAAAGGATTCCCCACAATTGTGTCATATCTTCCTGTCTGGTGTATGACGTGATGTAAGGAATCCATCTAGAACAAGATGCCGCAGAATGAGAATGGTAAGGATAAAAAGTCAAGTGAAAGAAATGCAGTAGTACATGGTACATATCTATTGGGCCAAAAATTCTTTAAATAAGGGGCAGGTTTTCTTGCAGGAAGACAAGTTTTCTTCACAGCTTCTTGCTATTAACAGAGCTATACATAGCTACTTCATAATCAAGCAGAATTAGAGCCTATCACCTACAGATTTTATAAGAGAGGAACAGATTTTATGCAGTTCAGGTACATTTAGAAATTCAGCAGAAAGCTTAAAATGAGTTTGACAATACTGTTAACTAAAAATCCTAAGCACAGTTCTACTTATATGGAGAAAGACTGACTCTAAAAGGAGAAAACACCGATTCATTAATGTAAACTTAAAGGGAGAGAACAACAGCAGTAGGTTAATTTAGGTATCAGTTAGTTCTGTAAGAGAAAATTCCAGTTCCAAGAGAAAATACACACTTGAGCATGTTTGTTTCTCGACTTGAGAAATTTGACTCTAGTCATTTCTTGCATCCTAGCCAGCGCTGGCCAGAGACAGAAAATCCATCCCTATCTAGTATTAAGAGAATCTACTCTGAAAAAAATAAAACAAGATTGTATAATCCAACCCTGCTGTTCGAAGCGGGGTCGATTACAGCAGGTTGGGTTTTAAATATCTCTAAGGACAGAGGCTCCATAACCTCCCTGAGCAACCTGTTCATACAGTATAAAGGACAGAGAAATGGGATTTTAACATTTATCCCACTGCTGAAAGTACCTTTTTTTTTTTCTCCTTACTGACCTGCGACTGCACGTTGGCTCCCACTGGGGAGCTCTGGTAGGAAGTCAATGACTGCAAGTTTATAAACGAATCTCCAGAATTTGTCATCTTAAAAGAGCCAGAGGAAGCTGAAAAAAAAAAAAAAACCACAACATGTTTTAATGAGAAATAAAACCCACCAAAAATGGCTCTTCAGTAAGTATTACATTATTTAAGTTTAAAAGAAAAAGAAATCCGGCAACTGTTTCAAACACAGGTATTCCATGGTACTAACTGTGACAAGAAATAAATTAGAGACTTTCAAGTGGACAGACTCTTCACTGGTGCTCTCACTCACCTGAATTTGGTGTAGACGGAGAATTTGCCTGGTTGCCTTGAGCCACGACATTAGTTGCATCTACTGCTGTTTTTGCAGCATAAATATTGGCTTCTTCTTGGAACTTCCCCATGTTTTTTTTGTATCGAATTCTTTTGTTACCAAACCAGTTGGAAACCTGGAGACATATATCGCTGTTAGCATTTGATCAAACTATTATATTTTCTACTATATTCGGAAGTTACCAGAAAAGGAGACATTTTAAACTAGGCTTCAAACAGAAAATACCTACTACTAAACCCTTCAGAATAACTTAAATCCTATTTAAAGTACCAGTAACTGAAGCCTGTTCCTAAGTATGGGGAAAAAAAACATTGTTCAAGGAAAAAAAGTCACTTAATACCAGATCAATCACTTCATACCTGTGAAACCGTGATGCCACCTTTCTTCGCTAGCTCTTCTTTGGCCTCTTCACTGGGGTAAGGATTACTCAGATGCGAATAGAAATACTCATTCAGTACTTCCGTTGCCTGTTTGCTGAAGTTACGTCGTTTACGCCTATAAAAACATTAGTTATTCCTGTTTAAATGGTGTTATAGAGTAGACCGGACAGAGTAGACTTGGCTTTTTTTTCCTCTAAAATGTATTTGATTTGAAGGAGAATGTAAGAATTGAGTGGAATTAAATAGATGTCAATGTCAAAGCAGGCACAATGGGTGGCAAATTCTTAAATGTTGAAATGAGATTGACACTGGGAATGACAGACTTGAGACTTCTTACGCAGTCAACTGGCATCAAACAACAAAACAAGTTCAGGCTTAAACATCTGTTATCGCTAGATTGTGTTTTCTCGTACCTTGCATCAAGAAAGCGTGAACGCAGGATCATTACTGCCTCGCACGTGCTCTGCTTCAGTTGCATCTGGATGGTGCTGAATTTGCCGTGGATTATGTTCACCATGCGCTCTATTTCTTTTGGCGAAATTGGTCTCGTTCTACTCTGTTCCCTAAGCAGGTTCATAACGTGGGTGGTGAACTCACTGCAGGCCTGAAAATACACACATTTGTATCGACAAACAATAATATACCCTAGAATTCATTCCCCAACAAGAATATAGATATCCAAAAAACTTTAGAGGAGTTTCCATGTTTCAGCTTTACTCTATTTACTCTTAAAAAACGGCAACAAAGATAAACGAGACATTTATTATCTTTAGTTTGATGTCCAGTCCCTCTATCTTCACCTTACTTCTGTAACACTGAGATAAGTTTTCAACTGAATTGAAAATCCTCGCGTTCACCTGAATTCATCATACTTCCTGTTCTGTTCTTAAAACCAACACCAAAGGAAAAAACGGTTATGTTTAATTGAGATGATAAAAACTCTTCCATGCAGAAAGATCACCTGTTCATATTTCTCTAGCTCAGAGTGGTATATCTGTCGGATCTGTGACAGCTTGGCCCTGTAGTCAGAGTGTTCAATGCTATTGTCATTTGGACAGCCACCTGATGTTGCTGCTACAGCCATCGGTCCTCCTCTTCCTCTTTTCTCGGGCCCGGAGACACCCTCTGCCAGCAACATGTTATCTAGTCTCATTAGTTGAGCATCTGGGGGATCTTCTTCCTGAATACCGCGAATACTTAACACTAGATAAATATAAAGAGGGAATCAAAAGATTATTTCTGAAACAGGAAAGAGCATCCACTTCAATTCTGGCAAAGCATTTAAACACTCTTCAGAGGTTTTAGCAGGTCTTGAGCTCAAGAAAGAAAAGGGAGCGTTTAATGAAGCCACGAGGCAACAAGTCAAAACAAACAGGACGTTGTTCCCATTAAGAAACACCAAAACGCAAGGCAAGTTTTCAAATGCACGCAGATAGTAAGACTACTTGAGGTCATACCAGTTTATACCACATTTAGAAAGTATTTTAGCCGTCTATAAAAATTAGAATGAAGTTCTTACAGAGCAGATGCCCCCCATATCAGCCTGCTGCCTGGCTCCTTGCACGGTCCTCAACAGCATTCAGCACGAGCTCATGCAGATGGACTACGATGGACAGACACAAGGCCTGAGCCACTGGGACAACTGCTACGCCTCTACGTCCAGGATGGAAACAAGCACCACACTAATGTAAGATCCCGTCAAAATCTGTACATAAGGCATGAGTTTGACCTCATCTGCTTTATATGCCAAGGATACAACCACACTACACAGCAGCAGGCTACAAATTGAAGTCTTAACAGTGCTGAATTTTAAAATATATTAAAATCTATCAAAATCTGAAACAACATGAAAAAATGCACCAGAAGCCCGTTTCCTTACGCTTATATTCAACAAACCCAGATGGCAGCAGTCTGTATGCTCAGATTATTCAAGTTTGATTCCAAGCAAATTTATTTTAAAAACTTAATTTCCCAAATTTTTTGACAATTTATTATTAACTTCCTTTTTTAAAAACCGTAACATCTCACGAGATATTGAATCAATACAAAAAATGCCAACAGCTTTTTGGCTTTTAGTTTGACTTTACATGCTAGACAATTTTAGTTTGACAAACAGTTGGTCTTAACCTTGTGAAGCTACCAAATTCAAATGACCTTTTCCAAATTGTAATTGGCGGGTTAACGGGATATTATGTTCCGTACCGAAGATAAATACAAAAGATCTCTTGTTATGCAAAGATTCTAGTGTGAGGCAGGAGAACAATGTATATGTACAGAGACATTAAACGGATGCATTTACGACAATTTTCAACATTTTGTAGGCAAAAGAATAGCTCATCTAAAAAAAACCAATAATAGTTCTGAACATACAAGCAGCCTAAACTTGTAATCACATTGCTGAACTTCGTATTTTGCAGGCTATACAGAAACGACTGCACAATTCTGATGAAGAGAGCGCTCTGGAGTGGCTGCAGACCCAAATTCGCTCTGTCACGGCAATCCAGGTCTCCTCCAGAACATCCACAGTCTTTTTGGAAGCGGAAAAAGGTAAGGCAAAAATAGCTATAGTGTAGTACATGGGTAACTGTTGAACTCAAGCTAAGACAACAATGAGGAAAGTGTTGATCATTTTAGAAGTTAGTGGCTTTTCTAACTCATTATGGAATTAAAATTAATACCTTTTTAAAAAAACATTGCAGACCACCTACTGCAAACACCCTTCACTGAGCGAACGTTACAAGAAATGGAACAAACACAGAAAAAAGGGGGGGGTTATTTGTTGCTGGGGTTTTGTTTTTAAAAATCGCCAGTTCTCCTTTTTTCCAGGAGACCCAGCAGAAGAGTTCACCAGCAGCCATTTGCTTTTAAGTCTTTTTGATAAAACTCACATTAAACTACTTGGACCGGTGAGCACAAATTCAGTGGAACAGATATTTTGGTGTCACCTTCTTATTTGAATGTGCTTTTGCCAAACATCTTTTTATGCACATTACGATGCATATCAGAGTACCTCATGTTGAAGTCAAGCTCCCAGCTGCAGCTTAATTTTATGTCACTTGTCTAATTATGGCAATTAGACATTAGTTATCATCAATTACACATAAGCTCATCTCAAGTTGACTGCTGAAAAGCATGTATAAAGCACCTTCCCAGTCTCGAGGGAAGACTCAGGTTGGTTGGCTCTAGTAAGTCACAAGAAACTAGAAAGGAGTTAACCATCATCAATGTATCGTAAACTGCATTTCCAACCTAGTAGTTCAAACTTTTACTTAACAAACTCTCTCAAAGGTGAGCAGACCTAAGAATCAATGAGTGCAAGAAGCTTGGACCGTCCGATCTGCTCCATCAGGTTGATTTTAAACTTTTGGCAACTCCATCTTAATAGGTGTGATGGTTAAAACACAAGTTCTACGGAAATCATCGCCACGGATATTATTTTTAAATTAAAGCCATCATCTCCTGGAAGGGATACCTTTTGCTTGAGCTTTATTTTTACTCCTAGTATCGTCACCTAATGATAATATTTGTACAGATCATAAGTTACATCAGATTCGCTCAAAACTACCTATTCAGTGAATTCATAACTGTGTTTGCTGCAAGTAGCAGCCAGTTCCGATTTCCAAGTACAAGAGCTGCAGTTGTTCACCTCCTGACCTTCCAGAGCTGGTAATCTGAAAAGATGGCACAACGGGAGAGCAAAACCATTGCAGCAGCAGGAACGCTGCGCTCTCACCAGCTTCTGCAACTCTCTTTTGATAGTCTGGTAAAAACAATTCCAGAAGTAGGTGCTTTACCCCTAAGAGTTTTGTCAGGGTAGCTGCATCTACCCTGCGAGCTTTCGGCATGCTCTGTGGGTCAGGCGTCACCCATTTCTGTGTACAATACTGAAAATTATGCCAGCAGGAGTTTGCAGTTTGCGTGCCTTCTGAAGAATTAGATTTTGTTAAACAAAAAGGATTCCAAAGGGGAAAAAAAGTTACCACAATAAAAAAAGGATCTCGGTCAACACTGACTTGTTACATATGCCTGTCCTTACATGCTGCTGCTTATTACCTACTGGCTCACAATACTTTGAGGAGAACACTTCTCTATAAAGCTTACCCCTTTCAATAGCCTTTTGGCCATCAAATTTTTGAAGTTCCCACAATAGTTTAAGAACATGTAACAACTCTATCAATATGCAAGGCTTTGAGTCAAGACACTAAGAGACTGGAGTTAAGGTATAACCAGTTACAGCATAGTCAGTGCTTTAAGCATGATTTAGAAAGTCCTTGCATAACGGTAAAATCCTTCACACTTAAATCCTTCATAATCCATCACTTTTACGGATGTTTAAGAAAAACCCTACACTGGCTCAAAAAGCCTGAAGAGTCACTCCTGTCAGCTGTACCAATATAATAGTGTGCGTTCTCTGGCGCATCACCTACCAGATATTCATCAAATATGTAAAATAATTATACTAAGCAAAATGAAATTCCCATCATTTCTAATTAATCTTTAATTAAAATACATCACAACCTAAGGTGCTGAAGCCTCACTCAGTATGCAAATGCAATCATTACAATATATTTACATCTCATTAATTAAAGATTTGCAGTTCTGTAATGAACTGTACAAGATCACTGGTACCAAAATAAGTGATACACACTTTGCTTAGACTTGCTTTCCTTTCCAGATTTTCCTTCAGAGAGCAAGTAATGCAGAAGAGCATGATAAATTTGTCTATTTGGTACAGAATACACCAAGTTAGACCCCAAACCTGCCATATTAGGGCCAGAAAGGAACAGCCCATACTGTATGAAGTATAAAATACCTATGGAGAGTACAAGGAAGCAGGCAGTTGGGTGCTGGACCTGCACCCCTCCTCAGCCACATCTCAGTTTTTCCCAGATGATCCTATCCCCTATGTTACACTTGCAAATATTTATCCTGTAACTCATGCTAAATACTGACTCCTGATGTTTTATTCCAACAGAAGGGTTTCCTCCATTTGGCAGTCCACAAATCAAACTGTTAGGTGAGAAGGCAGGGGTGCATTTTTTTAACAGCAGGTCACCTAAAGCAATCATGAACCCATTCTGAACTACTTCTTAATGCTACCAAAATACCACACACACCCCTCCTGCAGTACCAAGCAGATTTTTTTCACCCACACAAGACAACCCGTTTTTCAGTCAGCAGTCCTCCGTGGGGATTCCAGCCTCCCAAGCACCCCACTACAGAGAACAACATTGCTGTTGGTTCAGCTGGTCTCAAAGCAGTGTCACAGAAGAGCGCTTTCTCCAAATCCAAGACAGTCTCACACATTCAGGGAGAGAGGAAAGCGAATGGAAACAGAAGACAAAAGCCAGCGGGGCTCCGAGCGCCGAGGAACAAGACTCGGCTACGTAAGAATGTCAACAAACTCAGCAACAAAGAGAAAGCGTGTTCTTCGGCCACGCCGCTTGCCAAGTTTTATAACCGAATTAAAAGGTACCCATTGAATTAACCTAGCCAAGTGCCAGCACATGAAAGGAAGGACAGAGGGCTGTAGCTAGCAGCGATGAGAAACAATAAAAAATGGCACTCCATGTTACGAGGCTGCAACAAACATGTTCCCTACCAGAAATACAGAATGGGAGTCCCGCTGCGCAGTGTGTTCCACAAAAGTGGGTAGAAATACACTTTCCCTGCCCCAAGGGGCCTGAAGCCCATCACAGACTAGCATCCTCCTAGCATGGTATAGTCAGCCGAGAAGAAAAACTCTGAAATTTAAAATTCAGCACCAAAAGCATGAATCTTTAACACTACAGATGTTTAATTCTGTTTTTAAGATAGAATTATGCCATATTTGAATTCATACAGCTTGAATCATATCTGAAGTATAGCCCAATCAGCAAAAACCCTATCTGCTGCATAGATTAAAAATGCTCCAAATGCTTCTGTGAGTTCCCCAAAAAACTAAGTGGGCTTTACTGGATTAGATCCCTCTTCAAAATAGCTACCTATGTTCCAGGCGGGTATTTAAGACCTGAAAATAAAACACCTGTTCTTCCCATAGCTGGTTTAAAATTTTAAAAATTAAAATCATTGGAGGGGGTGGGGGCCGAGAACAAAATATTAAATGCGGCCAAATCTATTTAAATTACAAAGAGTCATTTGTACCTTCTTTTTTATTAATAAACACTATTGGGGAGAATTTTTTGGCACCTTTCAGCTGGCTGCCCATTGCAAAGGCGTACGGCTTATCCTGAGCCATTGTGAATGATACCAGCGCTCCAACAAAGAACGAAAGAAAGATGGGGGGGGAGGAACATGTTTGAAACTGATTTCCGAGCTAGAAAAGAAGCTTGTGTGCCTGGGTCACAAAGAAAGCCCAAAACCTTGTGCTACAGTATGTCCAGGCTTTTGTTTGCTTGAAGCCATAACATCTGCTCCCCATAATTTAAATAAGGAATAGACAGACCATCAGACATTCAAAAACCTATGAGACCAAAACAAATCCAGCATAACCGCGACATCGGAGCCTGTTCCTGCAAGTGTATTTAGCTCAGAGAAGTCACAGTTTCAATCAATAAAACGCAGAAGGCAGCTTTCAGTGTAGAAAGGAAAAACAGATGAAAGACCCTCTTTAAGGACAGCAATCCTCGAAGGACAGACAGACATAAAAGCACACCCAGACAGCACACACGCACTTGCTACCACAATGTTTTTCTTCAGAAGCAAACTGCTATCATGAGAACACAATATATGCAACCAAACTCTCCAGAAACAAACGTGTAATGTCTGCCTCAAAGCTCCCTTCCATGACAAGGGCACCGCAGAGGACGGAACTGTATGGTCCCTCATCTGGCAATACAATGAGGAGCACTGCAAGTTTCGGTGTTTTAGAAAAAATCATACAAATGTAGGTTTAGGGTGCAAAACGTTAATACAGCTATAAGTTAAAAAAAAAAGAAAAACAAACCACCATTTTAGTTACATATAATGAAAGTAGTTATTCTCTATAAAACCCATCAAAATTCACTGTAGTTTATAGAAATTAGATACGCAAACAACATTGCTTAAGTGTTCATGTATGAGCATATCCTGGGTAATTCAAAATTGAAATCCATTTGCCCCCAGTGCTTCTGCTCCTCAAAGAAAGCTGCGTGATCACCAACTCCCATTTCCTGCTACTTCTGTGTCTTCCAATATCCCCAAGCGTTCTGCCTTACTGTCTCTTTTTCTCCGTAATACAGTTATTTGTCAACTTTGAACTCTTAACTACCACCACAATTTTGGTACCAATTCCTTCAAGGAAAAAAAGAGCATAACAACACAGCAGGATTATTCAGGGTTATCCAGGTACCTAGCCAGACATCAAAAAACCCCAACCTACAGATTCTTTACGTACGCACAACCAAAAGACTCGTTCAAATACGCAGAGTTGTTTTCTCCAAACCTGCACACAGACAGCATTATGAAAACCACATCAGAGCCATTTCCAGCTTACAGAAGATGATGTTAGAGGTCTTTTCCAACCTAGATGATTCTATGATTAAGCCAAAAAAAGAAAAAAAATAGCCTTAAGTTGTAGAATCTATCAGGGAAAATACAGGCCACATTAAACGAGAGCCAAGCTGATGACTGAATGGGGGGTTTTTTTGGAAAGCTGAGGCCAGAAAAGACAGCAACGCACCTGTTTTCTCCTTTATCTCACACAGCACGCTGAAAAGAGCAGGCTTCATTCTGTGGCAGTTCAAGGCATGTTTTCTGAAATGGAAGAAGAAAGAATGAGTGAATGCCAACAGGAAAGGCAGCGAAAGGTGCCAAGACTTACAGAGGACTGGATGGTGCTTCAGTAATAGCAGGTTAGTGCTAAGATTAAGAAAAAAATGTGCAAGTTCTGGTGATATATTTCATTCAAGTGCCACACTCGGTCATCACTAGGAGCAAACTGTTGTAAAAACACACAGGCCTTAAAATTCAAAATTCTGCGTTGCTTATAGGAACTGTAAACACCTTCAGTTCTACCAAAAGCGTATTTTATATGCAGGGATAAAAAAGTTCCTTCTTGAGTTAGTACGCTTCTATAAAATCTAATAATGGAATCGAACCAAAAGGTAGAAAAAAACCTGGGTTTAGAGCATATAGATCCTGAACAGCAGGAACAACAGAGAGAATCCAAGTGCCACTCAGTGACTCGCCCAGCTCACACGAGTGGCCACCTGATCCAGTGAAATGCAGATTGTATTTAACAGCATTTTAGTACAAGTTTTACCACACGTGCTCATTTTGCCCTTTTGAAGCTGTTCCAGTGTTTGCTGCTTTGTTTTCCCCTTTCCCTCCAGGAGGAGACAATGTTAATTACACCACTAACACAGAACCCATCCTAATGTCTAATCAAAACAGAGAATTTTGCTGAGTTGAAAACACATTTGGAGTGTGGTGAGCACCGTATAAAAGCGGGAGCTGAGGTTCCCCACGGAGGGTGGGCGGTGTTTTACCAAGCCATTGCCAGTTTTCAAGGGCAGGCAGCAGTTCAGTGCCCAACTTCCAGTGGAAGTCAGCGGAAAGAAGTATCTAGCTGCAACGTATGCCTCCAAGAAAGTCTCTTTTGCTTCTTGTGACCCCTTTCATAATTCAGAAATAATATTTAAATCGCCTTTATAGCTAGGTTTCAGTGTGGTTTTTTTACATAAATACGAATTGGCCTTCCTTCTGGCACACCAGTCAGTACTCCAGCTATCGGGAACGGCGTGAATACAGGTGCTTGGCTTCCTCGCAACCCATGACGCTTACAGCTACTGCTGTGAACGGCCAGCGAATATCGGAACGCAAGCTTTTAACAAAAATCGCAGAAGCTGAAGTCGATGGGCCGCTTTCCTTCACGACACGGCCACAAGAAGTATAAAACCCATTCAGCTACGGAGATGTTTGATAACATCGACCCCAAGACAAACAGCCTGAGAACAAAGGCAGCTGAGAAGACAGCCTAGTGCAGTCTATTGTCCTTGCCTGATGAGGGAAAAAACGGGGGGAGAGAGGGAGAGAGAGAATGAATTCCAAGCCTTCAGACTGTACTCTCCACCCGGGTCGAAAAAGCAGTGTTTAGGTACAAGGCAGTAGAGATACCAGAGCCAGAGATAATTGCATAATTAATATGGCCACTAACTCTTGCAAAGATGACTGAGGTCATAACGTAACATGTTTAACAGCAGCATTAAACTCATCCTGGGCAGATTAATTTCCTTTCAATGAAACTTTCACCCAAGTCTTCAACTTGGATTTTAAAAATTCTTATTGCGTGCACTGCAAGAACCCTCTGACATTCACTAGGTGTTAAAACAATACACGCAAAACACATCAACAGCCATTTTTAATACAAAAGAATAAAAGCAATCCCCAAAGAATAAAGCGGTTACTGAGGTGTGAGAAGTCCCGGGTCCCCATATCACTTGTGCGATGGGTTTAACCAGGCCTGAGTTTTACTTTCTCAGCAGCAAGTCCTCTTATGGAGAACTAAGTAAACCCAACAAACTTCTTGTCCAGAACGCAAAAGCTTCTTTCATGCATATATGCCTGAAAACACACCAAAAGTGCTTTAAAATTTGGGGGCCTTCAGAGCCTGCTGTGCTTTGGCTGGACTTCAACAACATTTCTGAGGCAATGTTAAAGTAATTTCCTTTAAACAATGGCCAAGCCCATTCCTCAACTCTTACTTGAAAACTAAAGTTCCTGACAAGTTTATTCTGCTCAAAATTATCTTACATAGGAGGTTGTGAGAGAAAACTGCAGCTCTTGCACAACACACAGGCAAATCCATGCCCATAGAATCTATACAGGAGCTGCAGGTGGTTATTTCTGAGATACAGCGCCAGGCAGAAAAACATCAAGTTTTGGGAAGGAGCAACGGTCCTACACGTGACCCACAGCACGCACTGCTCACAGATTTCATCGCCCTACAAGCTGCAGCTGAAAATTACCTGAAAGAGTCAACTTTAAACCCAAATTATGACATTCTTAGAGTGCATGGTTTCTCCTTACACTCATATAATCGACTCCACCATTAGGAATCTGGTACCCACCCTCGGTAACGACGCTGCGTCGGCACGCCAGTTGCTGCCAGCGCACGATAGCAACAGGCGTACCCAAAAGCGGCTAAACTCTAGGCAGAGATAAAAAAAAAACTCAAAACAAAACCTGGCACGGTTTTATTGGCACCGTGGCAATCGCCGCGATAGGGAAATCGGGGTGCGGGCAGGGAAAGGCGATGGTGCGCAACACTCAACCAAGGGGCAAGCCAGAGGAGCGGCACCACATTAACTGTGGGGGGAAAGAAAAAGGCCAGAAAACCATTTTGCTGATTTTTATAAACCCGCTCTACGAGTCTCCACCTTCTCCCAAACCACCTCATGGCGGGGGCTGCCCACCTCACGCATGCCGAGGAAGCAAAGCGTGTAATTACGTGTAATTATACCGCACCAATCAGGGCCGGACGCAGCTCCGGGGCAAGAGGAACGCACCAGAAGATGCCGAATTCTGATGATTTCCAGGCTGGTTTTGCCATATAATTATTTACATCCCAATGACGACAACAAGGCAGGGAGAGAAGGAACGTTAATTCTTTTTTTTTTTTCCTTTAAATGCGATTCGAGAGAAACTTCGTGATGGGGGTGAAAAACCGGCGAGCCCCTTGTGCCATGAGGGGCCCGACAGCCCCCCGGTTCCCCTTGCTTCCCCTGCCCAGCCAACTCCAGCCCTCGACGGCAGCGACCGTCTCCGTTTGCCCGTTCCCGGTGGCGGCAGGCAGGACGATCCCGTTTCCAGCGGTTTCTCTTATTTACATCACCCGGGCAATTTCTTAACGAAGGACGGACAATTAATTACGAGGAACCGGGGCGTCCTCCGGTATTGAAGCCCCCCCCAGCTGATGGGAGACGACGACGCGGCAAACACCGGCAACCGGGGAACCACCGTGGAACTTTTCGCCTCCCGAGGGCCATCTCCCCACCGACCCCCCCTTCCCCCGCCGGAGCCGCGGCCACGTCGCACCGCGGGACCGCTGCCCTCCGCCTCCCCCCGCCACAAGCCCCGGTAACGACGGGAGCAGCGGGGCTGAGCGTGTCGTCCCTCGTCTCCCGTCCCCCCCCTCCCCGCCAAACGCCGCGCAGAGCTGAGTCACGGCGCCGGGCTGCGCGGGAAGGCGGCCGGTACCGAGCAGCTCCGCCGCGCCGAGCCGAGCCCCCTCCCCGCCCGGCGGCCGGGCCCGCCGGTACCTGGCCTGGGCCTCGTCCAGGCTCTGGTCGGTGATAGCCATGATCTGCTGTAGGACGTCGCCCGTGTCGTGATGCGCGGGCGGCGGCGGCGGCCCCGGTGGGGGCGCGGCGGCCGGATCCCCGGCGGTTGACGGAGGGGGCGGTGGGATTCC